GCTTGCTGGTTCAAGTCTTGGCTGGGTCAGAGTTTGCCTGTTCTCCCCATGTTCGTGTGGGTTCGCTCCGGGTGTATGCGTGTGAATGAGTGTGTGTGTATGGATGTTTCCCAGTGTTGGGTTGCAGCTGGAAGAGCATCCACTGTGTAAAACATATACTGGATAAGTTGGCGGTTCATTCCGCTGTGGCGACCCCTAATGAGTAAAGGGACTAAACCGAAAGAAAATGAATGAATGAATCTATGGGATCAAGTTACATTTCCATAAACTGTGTATATATGTGTGTATATAGAGTTCATTCATTCATTCATTCATTTGCTTTTCAGCTTAGTCCATTTATTAATCCAGGGTCACCACAGCGGAATGAACCGCCAACTTATCCAGCATATGTTTTACGTAGCGGATGCTCTTCCTGCCGCACCATGTCTCTGGGAAATATATAGAGTTCAAGTCAAATATATTTTTTATTAATTTTTTTTATATTTCCCAATTGTTATTGGGTAATGCTAAATAATAAATAGTTAAACTATAGCTGTAATAACTCATTTATTTAATAACCAAATCATTTTGTCTTTACCATGATGACAGTACATAATATTGTACTAGTTATAGATAAGTTACTATAGTATTCAGCTTAAAGTCCAAATTAAAGACTTAATTAGGTTAGTTAGGCAAGTTAGTTTTAGGCAAATCATTGAAGTTTGTTTTGTAGTCAGTCGAATATATATATATATATATATATATATATATATATATATATATATATATATATATATATATATATATATATATATATATATATATATATATATATATATATATATATATATATATATATATATATATATATATATATATATATATATATATATATATATATATATATATATATATATATATATATATATATATATATATATATATATATATATATATATATATATATATATATATATATATATATATATATATATATATATATATATATATATATATATATATATATATATATATATATATATATATATATATATATATATATATATATATATATATATATATATATATATATATATATATATATATATATATATATATATATATATATATATATATATATATATATATATATATATATATATATATATATATATATATATATATATATATATATATATATATATATATATATATATATATATATATATATATATATATATATATATATATATATATATATATATATATATATATATATATATATATATATATATATATATATATATATATATATATATATATATATATATATATATATATATATATATATATATATATATATATATATATATATATATATATATATATATATATATATATATATATATATATATATATATATATATATATATATATATATATATATATATATATATATATATATATATATATATATATATATATATATATATATATATATATATATATATATATATATATATATATATATATATATATATATATAT